AGTAATTTTGCTGTTTGTATGTATGCTCGACAAGTAGATAGCAAGTCCAGGAAGATCGGTTTCGCCTGGGGATGAAATAGCAAAGCCTGCGCCTGCAGGTTAGTCAAATAGGCATTGTGCGCAGCAGGCACTGAATCGGACTCCTGGTCTGAGTTAATGCGAGCTACAAGGGCTTCATATTGAGCTTCTATTATATCTAGCTGGAATAAACAAAATATAAAGTTGATTGACATGCTAAAACAATCAAAATATGTCCATTAGCCAAATCACACTTCATGGTTCGCTATGAATATTCCCCGTGGATTGGCTCTCTAATGACAGCATAAAACTAGAGCATTCAGGACCAAACTCCGAATTCAAGCATGTATGCAGAAAAAATGCATACAAGAGCTGTAATAAATAGCTAAAAGGAATGGAACGCTCATTTAATTGAAGCGTCATTGAGAAATAAAAAGATCGGGAAGTCAAGCCTCACCGACCAGAAGCAAGGTTCTTGTCTTTATGCCACTTTGGAGGTGGGAAAATGGAGAACCCTGATGTTGCACCTTGGCATAATGAAGTAAAACTAGGTTCGCCAACCTGAGGATGTCACTAATATGGACAGTTTTTATGTATAGAAGTGGTAGGGGCGAACAGGAACGGATAGAGCCGAGAAGTCGAGATAGCGTGTTACTTAGTACAGCCCAGTCAGCGAGAGCACAATCAAATGTATAAGGGCGTGACGCAGAGACCAGAGGATGATTCGAGGAGGGGTGTGTTCAGCATCACATGAAGGGCTAGACTGATTTAGTGAGGAGGCTCTGAATCATTGTAACTGCGCAAATTGTTGTCGTAATCATTTGGGTCAAAAAACGCCATGGAAATATGTGGAAAGAAACCGGAAACATACAGTGAAAATACCAGTAAGTGATAAATTTGAGCGGAAGGGCAGGAAGTCATAGTCGATGTGCAATAAAATTGTAAGATTTGGGCAAGAATATAAGATTATTTCATCAGAAAAGTAGGATTGGAGGAAATCTGTGGAGGCTAAGATATTTACACATTAAATAAAAAATGAATCCTCTTGAGGAAGCAGAGAACTACATACGTTAAGCATATGCAGTGATTAAGCTGCGGCAAAATAAAGCCAAACGCCTAGCTCTGCTTATGGACACACGGAGAGACTATAGTTTGAATCATAAGCAGAACGAGAGCACAAACTTTCCAGATGACCGATGCATATAGAAAACCTTTAGTTAATTCGCGACCATATCGTCAGCAGTTTACTATTTGTAGTAGTTATAGTGAAATACCAGGTAGTGCACCAAAAATATGAGACGCACCTGGAGGTGGTACTGGATGCTGTCAAGTAAGAAAATCATGTGATTCCTAATCAGCATCCTTCGGCTCATGTTAGACTCTCGTGCAACAAGGGGGTTCATGTCGATAGGTTCATCGACTTGAATTAAAACTCCTTTTTTACTGGAGCCTCTGTCCACTAAATTTGCCTCCAGCTCTCGATGCCGCCGCCAGACGAATGTTTGCCCAGCCCAATGTCGGTGCAGTTCGGCTTGGGTTCTCCTAACCGTGATGAGAAAAGAGAATAAACGGGCGTATGCCGCCCTAGCATCAATTGAGAAAACCCGGTTGGCGAAATGGGATGCATTTTTTCCCGAAGGTACGCGGTAATGAAGGCGAAGACAGTCCCACGCCGTGGGGGCAGATTTGGAATCAAGTGAATCATTTTTAATGACCGTGTCATTATACGGACTTGTGCTCAATGTGAATCTAAAATGCGCAAAGAGACTTCGATAAGTCTAGTAGAATGGCGAAGCTTCTAGTTAATTAACTAAGCACGGATATCAGCCTAATCATGAATATCAAGAGGAAACAAGTTACCTAAACTGCCTTCCTAGTTCTTCATCATCTAACTCGATAGATCTAGCAGCCATGAGAAATGCTCTGTTGATGTCGTAGGCGAGTGCTCGAGCTTCTGCGATATCCTTGGGCGGAGGCACATCCAATATTGTGATATCACCTGAACCAATGCTAACCCCACTCATATGAGCAGGAGAGCGTAAATTATCCAAGAACGCTAAAAATAATTCACCCCGACCTAGGAGAAAAACGTCCTTGGCAAGCTGAAGCTTATTAATAAGCTGATATTCCTCAATGTAGCTGGTCCAAACGCTTTTAGAGACAAACATTCGGATCTCTGAAATAAGATTTTGCACGGGAGTAATATCAAAGAGGCATTTATCATCCAAAGGATGTTCTTCGTTCGCTCCCTCATTTTGCACGGACTTAGGGCGCGAGATCAGAGGAGATTCCAATGCGCGAAACCGGTCGGCATACCTAACGTCTAATTCTTTAACTAATGGAGCCTGTTTTGAGCTCCTGGAATAATCACAGGAGCGAAAAAAAATTGTTTCGCCTATGAAAAGTATTTGACTTGTCATCAAGGGGGGGATAAATAAAGGTAGTTTAGCAGGCACAAGCTGAAACTCAGGTAAAGGATCGACGACCTCGGGGAATTCATCAAAAGCTTCTTTATCTCCTTTGGCTGTAAGCACATTTTCGTTATTCTCCAGAAGATTAGAAGGAATAAACTTTTCAATAAAAAATTCTCCAAACGGGTCACTTAAGATGCCTTGTAAAACCCAAGAGGAGAGCTGTCGATAAAAAACACGAAGACCATAAGATAGTATGCATTTTAGGGTTGACAAACAAGAAAGTCCTGGCAGATAAATTGATATAACAGATTCAAGAACACGAATACTAGGTTTCAGCTGATCACCAGAACCCTTGGACTCAGAGCAACATTTTTCAAGTTGTTGCGTAAGACGACGAACAATGGGCAAAATAGTTCGATAATTGTGAAGCCTGTAGGAAATATGAGCAGTACCTAATTCCTTATCCATGAGGAGCTCATGCTCGATTTCGCAAAGTGTTGATCTGTAACCAGTCATAGCATCGTCGATTCCATTCGCAGTAGCCGTTAGGTATAAACTATAACCAGGAGATAAGTGCTTTTGGATAAATCTATTTATCGAGTGGAAATCAGCACCCAGGTTCAATAATTGAGACATGAGGGATAATTCCGCTGGGTTTACATAAGGCAAGTCGTCTGCAATTGGTCTCATTATGAAGTGACTTGCAATTCGTTCGTCATTAAAATCCTTTACTTCCTCGCAGACAAAAATATCACCCGGAAATCCATTAAGTGCAAAAAGCAGTTCATGGAGCATATAAATAGAAAAAAGAGAAAGGAGAAAGAAAAAACAGGCAGGGGTGGCCAAGCAACAAGCCAGGAAATTTAATATAAGAGCCAAAAAACTAAGTAATTTAAAGCAACAAATTAAAAAAAACAAATTATACCATGATGCATATTTTAACGTGGATTACTTTTTTATAGGAGCTTTGCCTACTTTTTTTAAAATATAAAACGAAGCGTTTTAATCAGATATGCGATATTTTTTAGCCACTATTGAGTTTGTAATAAGAATTTATTCTTTCCTTATATGCATAATTTAGGATTCGATCTCATTAATGTATTTATTTCTTCCAGCTAATTCTTTTTCAAAATATTTAGAACTTCAAACGAGTAGTATGTTGTCGAATGTTTCTTGCCCTGAAATACTCGAAAAGAGTGTACTTTACTGCTAAATCCTTAATAGTAATTACAATGAAGATTATATACGATCGAAACTATAATGATTTTATTCATATTACTTATCACTAGAGTTGGAGAGAATTTAATTTGATATGACTTCTACAAAACTCTACGATAAAATTTCATCTGTTGGCTGTGTCGTGCTTCTGAGATAAATGTAGGCTAGTTTAATACACATATGATATTGTGAGCAGAATGATAGCCTTTATTTATCAGGTGTCATTTCTTTCTAATGAATAAATTGGATTTTAACATTGAATGAACTTGCTCGTGGTTCCTTTCAAAGGCCTGACATTTTTTACAATCTCATTTCTTTTATTGCATGACTTACTAAAGGAACGGCCAAAAAACTTTAATATTTGAAGCAAAGATTGTTTTAGTGATTTTTTGTTTATGAGTAGGTTTTTGAGACTACCAAAATGTGCTATGGGAGCATTCAAATCTTCTCCGTGACCCAAGGGCCGTCGTGGCAGTGCGGAGTAGTAGTTAGCATGTCGAGGTTGCATGTTGCACCATCACGGTTTGAGTCCCGCTGGAGGTATTGAGGATACGAAAGACGAACTCGAAAGTACAGCCGATCCTGGATCATAAAACCTTTTGGGGAGTATAGCTATGTACAATTCAATGGAAATGTTGGGTCTACTCATAACATTGCAGGACTATTCAATTGCCAGTGCTCCACCACAATAAGGAAATAGGATAAATAAATCTCACATTGATTTGGTGATGCTTGTGTGTCATAGAAGGAGAATTACTTAAGTGCTCTTGAGTATAAGTTCCAGGGACCTACTTTCATATGGGTTTATATGCGTAGGATTCATAGGAAGGTGTTTCTTGACCAAATATTTTCTTATAAGTCTTTTTTGTATTCCCTTTATAGTTTTTTTTGCTTTGGAGGCTTCGTTTCTTTTTTACCCTTAATAAAAAAGCTGATCACTTCC